TTTTACTCTTTTATCAGCTAATTCCATCAAAACAACACCTACCCCTGCAATTCATTCACTCTAAATCACAAAACTCACAAAGTTACCAAAACACCCCCAGGTCACCCCATTTCCCCTACTAATACACCCCTACAGTACCCAGTATATCAATCCCAACATCCCTGCTATTATTTCCCTATTTTTCCGTATTTTTATTGTCCACCATCCTATCCCTATCCATGTATCTATCTACCCTAGCCCCAGAGCCCATACCTAGCCCCATACATCCTCCCTGAACCCTGTATACATCTATCCTATCCCTGCTGCACAATTACCCCCCATTTTCCTACCCCATTCTACCCCCTACCCAACCCCCTACCACCCCCTACCCATCCACCCATTTTTCCAGCCATTTTCCAGCCATTTTCCGCCCATTTTTCCGGTCATTTTCCCAGCCAGAATATCCCCCAGCCCATGCTCTTTATAAAGAGCCATTAATATTTTGGCAGTCGACTCTTTGCAAAGAGCCAATAGCTTACTACAAGGACTCTTTGTAAAGGTGGTACATGGACGCCTGTTTTATGAGCCCAGAGATCGAGGTGGCTCCCGGTTCCATTCTCCCACGAGAGACTTCGCGCTGCCTCTGCGTCTTGTCCGCTCTTTATTCATTGCCATTTTTTCTCGTACAACTCTCGGGATGCTATTCAATCGCGCCTCCAAGGCCCAGCATAAAGTTGTTTGAAACGAAGATGTGCTGTAGCACCTTCAGCAGTATCCGAGAGCTCGAGGCGGAATACGCCGGCTGCTGCTGCCTTCGTCATATGCGGGGCCGGCGCTCGAGGTGGAGCATTCTCTGTCCAGACAGAAATGAGCTCTGGGGCCGTATCATAAAACCCCTAAGACTGATGAACTCAGGAACCAGCACGTCTTATGTAAAATTCTGGCTGCTTCCTTATCGTCCCGAATGTCACGCTTGTGTTTCCGAAAGTCTCCGATTTAGTGTCCGTACGCCACACTGCGATGAGCTTGAAGTCTCACGTTTCTCAACGGCGGATACACTCATGTAACTGAGGGAGAAGAATACAATATAATACATATAATTTACACTGATGCAGCCCGATCACAAATCTGCAGCCTCAGCCCGAGCCTTTGCCAGCATATCAGGTGGTAGGGTACGATGACTATGGTACCGACGATGAATCCACGCAGCTTGTCCCCCCATAAGGCCATGTAAGTACGAGTCCACAAAGCGTGCAGATCGGTTTGCAAACCTAACCAGAATTTTAACAATGAAATATGCAAGGAAACCACAGATTTGCTCACCTCCGAACCTTTTCAAGTGGCACCTTATCCAGGCAGTCCTGAATCTTAGCCTCGAGCTCGTTCTCAGTGCTAGTACGCGGTCCATTGCGGAAGATATACTTCGCGGCACCCCAATACTGCTCGATGAAGTTCAACTCACAGTGATATTTGGGGTAATAGTCACAGAGGTGACCGCGTTGCGTGATATACTCCTCCAGCGCAGACTTCTGGGCCACAAAATCAGGCTGGCAGAAGAGGAGCCATCGACAGCAGCAGTCAGTAAGTCCGGGCTCACATTTGAAACCCGGACACTCTGCACGAAGACCGCCTGCAGGCCAGAGACCCCTCTCCTTGATAATCTGCTCCATACCCTTGAACCAGCCAGGATACTCAGGGTATTCTCTTCGTAGTAGAATGGTTGCGGAGAGCCATCGGGCAAGAGTCCGGGACGCATGCGAGGGCCATCTTTATGGTGAGTCCAACTAGGATGAGGTCCTAAGGTATTATAAGTGTCAGCGTCCAGATATTGGGATGGACGGGGTTTAAAGCTCACCTTTCACCATGCGGAGAGCGGAAAGAGCATCGTCTGCTCGTTTAAGGTGGCTAGGCGCGTTGTCGAACAGCCAGAGACCTTGAGCGCAACCACCCGTTCGCTTTTCGAAGATGTCGATGGCGTGTTTGACCTGAGCGATAAGCTCATCGCAATTGAACCATCCGTCACGATGCTTTCCTGCTCTGAAGAGTCTTCGAGCTGCTCGTTCGGGGCTGAAACCGAAGGACAACATGGGACCTTTCAGCGATGAATGACATCAAATGAAGTCGATGATAGGGCCCCGGACTCCTTGGCCCTGTATTTTGCGATTCCGGACGGCTCCTGCTGGGTGCGGATATCGTCGGTATAGCGTGTGGCCGTTGATCCTGGTGTTCGCCGCTCATTGACGAGGTTTCCGGTCATGCGTAGCAGGTCTCAGCCCTTTGATTGGTTCAGTCGTAACCTTGGCAGCTTGCGCGTAGGTCCGGAGGGTCTTCTAGCGTCTTGGATGATCTTTTATTTCACTTACGGACTGTTTTTCTATCCGTCCGGACGCATTTCGTTCCGTTTATTTGCAATGTTTCAGACTATATGTACTCTTCCACACCACCATGCAATACAGGTTTCGGACCCCCTTTAGTTCACCCAACATATCTCAAAAACCCCCCTTTTGCCTCCCCGAAACTTCCGACGAGCTCAAGAGATCACTCGCCGTTCCGTCAGTGTCAGTAACAGTCGCCCTCGTATTTCGTACCGCAAGTCTCAGTCGTATCGTCGCGCTCGTCCGGAGCTCCCGTTCTCGTTCCGGAGTCGGATTCTGCCCACATAGAACCAAACTCGCACCCGTGTAAGTGGTTGGTGGTTCGCTTCCGCGCTTCTACCGGTCGCAAGCACATCATTTTGGAGCCCACCGCGAGGGGTTCTATTTCAAGATTCTGTCTTCAACCAACAATCCTACTACCCCACCATCATCACCAGTACCAGCGCCGAGTGCACCTCGTCGCACTAGACTACAGACGCAGCACCCAAGTGAAATCGAACCATTCAGCACTGCCGTAGACTCCGACGACGGAGAATTATTCTTTGTTCCCGTCCCAGAGGCACTATCCGCACACACCCAGCTAGAATATCAACCAGTTTCCCCAGAGACACGCGCTTGGCTAGGTCTTCCAGCAACCCCGCATACATCTCCGCAAGCAAGCCAGTCACCATTACCGGACCTCACCCCATCCACACAATCCGCAGGCTACACCAACACAACACCCCCAGTCACCAGTTCAGCAATGTCGACCACCATGCCCGCCCGTGGCGACCGGACAGCGCCGTCATTTGACAAGTCCAATCCGCGAGAGCTCCGCCGGTACTTCGCCGAGTTAGACAGACACTTCACGCGGGCCTCTGTTCAGGATGACACAGCAAAGAAGGAGCACTCCTGTCGTTACCTAGACGTCGATACCGCAGAGCTGTGGGAAACGCTCCCAGAGTACAAGGATCCCCTCAAGTCATTCGATGAGTTCAAGAAGAAGGTCCTGGAGTTATATCCAGGATCTGGGAAAGAGCGGACCTGGTCGGTAGCGGACCTGGACCTTTTAGTAGGCGAGCGTAGCCGGCTGGGTATTCAAACACTCGGAGACCTTGGTGATTTCTATCGCCAGTTCCTGGCTATCACCACCTATCTCCTGGACCAAAAGCTCCTGTCCGAAGTCGAACAGGTCCGAGCGTTCCGCAGAGCCTTCCAACAAAGCCTGGATGTGCAGGTTGCCGCACGGTTACAGCTTAAGCACCCGGATCATTACCCGTCCCACCCGTACCAGCTCAATGACATCCTTGAAGCTGCTCGTTGGGTCCTTCATGACACCCCTTCTACACTGTCCACCGGAATCTCGCCTGCAGCCCTCCCGTTGACCACAGCATCCTCAGTTCCCAGTTCGGGTATCAAGGCGGAAGACTTCCAGTCAATAATGACAGCAATGACACCAGGGCATGCCACGAGTACCAGGACCCGTGAGTACCTGCAACGGATACTCATAAGGCACACCATCGGGTACCTGTATCCGTGGATACAGATACTCGTTCCCACGGGTGGCTGCACGGATACAGGTAGTGCTTCAGGTCCCACAGGTACCCGTGGGAGAGTACCTGCCATATCGCGTCGGAATTTGCCGGAGGCCAGACGTGCATCCAGTGATGCTTTGCTGGCACATCTCTCCTCACTCTTCTCCGAGCACACACCACCATCGACAGAGTTGACACGTCGTGTTTCTGTCCATGGTGGTGATGCTTATTCTAGGCACTGGTTTCTATATCTATTGGTACTTTGTTGAAGAGATTTGGTGTGTTCATTGTTGGGAATGATGGTACTCAGGACCTGGTGAGTACCTCCCTCCCACTCTTATCGTAAATTTGCTCGTTCTCACCCAATTCCGCGTACATCTCCAATGTTGCGGGGTCAATCGATGCGGATTAATGTCCGTCATCACCTCCTGTACTTGGTTTGACGCGATTTGGCCCACCCGTTGTCGAGAACGATGACATTGACCTGGTGAGTACCCCCTGCTACCTTCTATCGTAAATTGCTTCGTTCTCACTCAATTCTGTGTGCATTTGTGATGTTGCAGGGTCGATTGACGCGTGTTGATGTTCCGCATCGCCCCCTGTACTTGGTTTTATGCAATTTGGCCCACTCGTCATTGGGAACAATGCTATTGATTTGGTGAGTACCTCTCCACCCCCTTCCCCAGCTTATATGTACCACAGTACCCACGGGTACCCCTCAGGTACCTACAAGATACCCGTAGACTCATTCTATCCATGAGTACCTGCCCATTGGCAAGTACCTGTATCCGTGGATATGGATACCCGTTCCCACGGATGCCACCCCGGATACAGGTGTGGCCTCTGAGGGAACAGGTACTTGTTCCCACGGATACAGGTACTCGCACGGATATAATCGTGGCATGCCCTGAATGACACAGATCTTGACAGCAGCGCTGTCAGCTCAAGGAAGCCAGGTACAGAACTCCGGAGGACCCCGACTCACCGATGGGGCACCCCAAAGACGTACGGGAGGAACACCAAATAATCTCTGTTCCTTCTGTTGGGTTCCGGGCGAACACTTCATTGCCACCTGCCCAAAGGTGGACGAATACCTGAAAGCGGGCAAGGTGATCCGACGAGTGGTGGATAACAAGATTGTTTTACCGAGTGGTGCATTTGTACCAGGACATATCCTTCCCGGCCGACCCTTGCGAGAACGTGTAGACGGATGGCATAGGCTGAACCCCGGACAGCTGGCCAGCGTAGGAACCGTGAGCCAAGCAATGTTCCAAATTGTTCCCCCCCGAATCTTGTCACGGATGGATTCACTCGCCAGCCCCGCCCCAGTTCTCACACAAAGTGTTGCGACCAACAGGGACCCCCCTCTCAGCAGGGAGGGGCGCATCCAGAGTCTTGAGCGGGAGTTGTTTGCGCTTAGGTCGGGTAGAAAATACCAGCCTGTCATCCCACCGGCTAGCCGACTCCCCAGAGGATCCGAGCCAGACCCGGACTATATGCCTGCACCGCCAGAAGATGATGTGCAGCCCGACCCTAGCATTGACGCGGTACCCAGCGTATCCGGAGATGTACCCGAAAATAAGAACGATCCACAGGAAGTTGCAGGACAGCGCAACCAGCCACTGCAAGCTACGCTTCCGGAACCGATACACCCATTTGCGAACGTACAGGATGCAACCCTAGCAAAGGCCCCCACCCTTGTTCGAGTACAGGACCAAGCTGCAGCTATGTCCGGCGTGGCTAAGAAACCAGCCCCCAATTATCAGACGGTGTCTCCGGTATATAGCGAGAAGGATGCCCAAGCGGTCTTTGACCGTGCGATGGCACAGAACATCACCGTATCGCAGAAGGAGCTGTTATCACTAGCCCCAGAGCTCCGGAACTTGGTCCGGGAGGTTTGCTCCGCACGCAGACAGGCTGTAAAAGATTCCGGAACAATGGCGGCGAACCTACAGGTCACCGCAGAGCTCCCCTTCGCCATTGATGACATTGAACCCCCTGCCAAGCGGAAAGAGCCCATAGCGCAGGTAGAAACGAATCAAGCCACTCCGGAGACGGTTCTGGGTTTACACCAAGCGACCCAACCCGTACCGCACCAGCCCGGAACTCCTCTACCAGGGTCCCTCGTAATTCCGGATGTCTATGAGACATACCTAAAGTCGCTACCACCGGGCGCGACACTCGATACCTTGGTAGTCTCTCAGGAGTCGGCCGCTCTCCGGGCCATCAATCCCTTGGTGGACCATCAGTTACATGTGGAATGCATTCTGGACCCGGGGTCACAGATCATTGCCATGTCCGATGCGGTGTGCAACGAGTTGGCCTTGATATATGATCCATCCTTCCGCCTCAATATGCAGTCAGCAAACGGCGAGTTAAACCTCTCCTTGGGGCTGGCCCGGAATGTCCCATTCCTCATTGGCGACCTTACCCTATATCTTCAAGTCCACGTTTTACGCAAACCAGCCTATGATATCCTACTCGGTAGGCCCTTCGACGTATTAACGGAAAGTATCGTCAAGAATTTCCGGGACGAGACACAGTCGATAACTATCCATGATCCTAACACCGGGAAGGTGGCAGTGGTTCCGACGGTTCCTCGAGGACATGCACGGTTTGTGCATAGGCCAGTGGTGGCAAACACAAACCCTCCACCGGAGGCAATGCTCGCGGGTTTTCGCACTTCGAGGAATTGATCAACGATCAAGGAGAAGTGGCGCTAATCATTTCAGTCGACCCTAACGCGCCGAGATCCATTCATTTTTTTTATTTTTATTTTTTTTAATCCGATTTATTGTCCATCAGCGAAGAGGCCGCTATGTAAGACAGAAACGCACGTGAACTACAAACAGACAGAGAAAACAAGCGTAAGGGAGACAGACAGGAACCTAAATAGGCACAGAAACAGAATAGAAGGTCACGGGAGAGGGAGAGGAGGAAAATACACAGGACTAGGCAGTGGGGTATAAAGGGAATAAGACACGATGTAAAAATGGACACGAGACGGCGAGAACGGGCACGAGAATCGACACAGAGACCATATGAGAACGGACTAAGAAACCGGTGGAGACGAAAGAGAGCGAGAAACTTCGGATAACACGGGCAGAAAACGAACAAGTCAACACAGACAGAGACCGTGGTAAGGTGAGGAACGTCAACAGAACGGGAGCGAGAAGGCACGGTGCAGTCACAACAAGACGGAGGTAACGGAGACGGGAGGGCGGAGCGGAGGGCAAGCACTACAACATTCCTACATCCTTCCACCCGAACGCGGAGAGGCGGAGTTGGATCGAACACCCGAAGATGCGGAGTCGGATCGAACGCTCGAGCCGGGGAACTAGCGTCCAGTCATGAAAGTGGGTAAAAAGTGTTTAGCATGTCAAGGGCAACGGGCATGAGAGGATCGAAACAAGTGGAAAGAAAACAAGACAAAAGGGAACAGAGATAGAGACAGAGGAAAAGGGGCTTTAACCTGGATCAAATTCGCGGCGAATGAAGCGGCCAGTTGCGTGCACGAAAGCCAGAAGTGGTATGACGCTGGCCTGCCGATCCAAAAGGACATCGAGACCCAGTCGACGAGTGCAGCAAGCGCGTTGGAGGATGTATCGTTCATGTCGGTACTTCGGACACTCGAGAAGGAAGTGACCGACAGTTTCTTCAGCCGCACCACATGCCGGACAGCGGGAGGAATTGACCAGTGCAAATCGATGGAGGTATTGGTTAAGGGGAACATGCCCGCACCGGAGTTGAAAGAGGATGCTGGACCCGGCACGACGTAAGGACGGGGTGTCGACGAGTTTAAGAAAGGCTTTGGACGGGAGAGAGGGACCGATGCGCCGAAACTGCTGAGAGCGTGTGGAGAGGGCCCATTCACTAGCCCAGCTATTAGTGATCTTGGACGTGAAGGACTGGACGAGCGCGGAGGAGTTGTAGGGAAGAGGGGACCGAAGTATGGCGGGGAGGTCGGCCAAGGCACTGGAGAGGCCACGAGCGGCGGACTTAGCTCCCCCGTCTGCAAGCTCATTGCCCACGACACCTTCGTGACCCGCGACCCATCGAAGCTCCAGCCGGTAGCCTAATGGGCCACGCTCGCGCTTGAGAGCCTTCGTAAGGCGCACGAACTCGTCGACTAAATGTTGACCGGAGTGAGCAGCGGCAGTCGAGGGCGACTTCAGAGCGCTTTGATTGTCGATGTTAATGGAAGAGTGCACGCAGGCATCGGCTTCTGTCTGGATGAGGTGAATGCCGAGTACGAGTCCGACCAGTTCAGCCTCATACACAGTGTGGTGAGAAATCTTCCCCAGATGGAAGTGGAGCATCCGGGGGGCCTGTCCCAGCCGAAGGAGAACCGCCGAAGCACCAACCTTGCCTTCAATTGCGGAGCCGTCCGAGTAGATGCGAATCACGTTCGTCTGAGTGGCGTCAGATGCGACAGC